CAAGTGCGAGTCATGCAGCCAAAACATGCAGAACACTTGGATCCTTCCTGAGCGCACACACGCTGTGACGAGACGGCGTCGTGGCCTTGCTCGCCCTGTGCTTTGGCCCTTCACTTCGTCCCATGCGCTTTTGCTATTTCATAGTATATATTCCATATATATTAATATATAGGCAGATGTGATTTTTCCATGGCACCCCCAACAGCCTGCAAAGAGCTCAACTCGAAGGCTAAAAGGCAGCTGATCGGCAGCCTCCTGCAAATACTAATGGGATCCCTTGCAGCTTCCAGCGACATCGGCGGGAAGAGCTGTATTAGGGACCCTTCCGTGGAGGTTTTAACAAGCCAGGTTTTAATTGGACCTAAGAAGTCTCTTTGCCCTTCAAGGCCTAATTCACAATCTATAAAATAAAATAGATACAAAAAGATGCATTCAACAGGGAATATCTGCCTAAAATGAAGCTGAACTGGTAGAAGAAAAAAGGCACTTGACAGGTCATTTCTATATTCCCTTCTTATTCCTCTCTTTTTCTTGCTGTTGGGCCGGATGCTTATTCCCACACAGATCATCATCATCTCCTCAAGGAGAAATGGTAAAAGTCCTAATAATCCTCCATTTACAGCCTCTCCACATGACTCCTACATCATATATTCAGCTCTGTGATCACTTTTATCATCAAGGGGAACAGAAGGAGGGATGCGAAAGGTGCAGAGGCTCTTGAAAAAAGATAGAGAGGATCCATCTCGGTCCTTACCTCTCTGCTCTCCAAGTACCTTATGACCATTAATGCATTCACCTTCATAACAGCCTGTTGGGAAAGAAAAAAAAAATGCACATTGTATAAATGATGGTGTGAAGCATAGGGTGAATTTAATGATTTTAGCAAGTGTTTCAGTCTGGAAGATAATTCAAATGTACCTAAACATAGTCCCCGAATGGCTACGTTGTCATTTAGTGCTCAGAGCAAAGAATTTATAGTTTTTCTGCAGAATTATAATCTGTCTTTTCAAGGATATATACTGATAGATCTGGAAGTTGTTTCCAGCAAGAAAAATCCATTTTAATATGCTATTTTTGTGAAACATTCGTCCAACATTCAGTTGGGGTTGTTTAAAAAGAAACTCCCCACAAATAACTGCTTTGATGAAGTATTTAAGGATCATTTTATTTTTATAAATACACAGAAAATTCAGAGCATCTAGAACCTAAAATATTCCTTTTAATATAGTGCTTTAATATAAAATTCTGTCAGTCCCACAGAATCTACCATGCACTTTTCATCAGTAATGAATAAAACAGGATTTTTGACTTTGCTTTGAGTGTAAGCCCGCTCAAACCTATTGCATAAAAATGAAATATCGTAAGTTGCTTTAATTAAGGCCAAGTTTTCAAACATTTATGTGGCAACTGCTGATTGTTGTTACAATGGAAACACAGCAAGTTTTTGGTTGCACCGGCTGCTCACATTGTCATCGTTGCTTCCCAGCTGCTGCCTGAGAACACATCACCCCGCGACCTTAAATCCTGCAAGCTGCTGCTGCAGCAGGATTGGGCTGCCTTGTTATTTATTGCGAGAGCAAAAGGGAAGTATTTTTTACCCATGTTTTTATAATGTGGGGGGTACAGCGCTTGTGTGACTCGCTGTGGCCAAATCTTTAACCCCTTGAGAGCCGTTAATCAGGAGCTCTGGTTTCCTGCACCGGTGCCTGCAGGGGGAGAGAGGGCTGGAAAGATGCGACCCTAAACTTGAGCAGCGTTGTCGTTCCTGGGGGGCAAAATATAATTCCGCTTGCATCTATCTTTTCTCTCAGTTTATTCCGTTTCTGAGATGGATTGAGGGGCTTTCGCTGTAGAAACTTTGAGCCCTTAGAAACACGGCAGTTAACTGTGGTAGGTAGTTAAGTCAAAACCCTGATGTGGAAGTATTTGGGGGTCATATTTACTCAAACAGCTCAGGGGACAATCCAGCTCGCTGGGATTCACTGCGAACGCGTGTCCTGCCGGAGGGGAGCAGCCTGGCATGGCCACCTCGCCTTGCTGCTGGTACCAGAGCAGCTCCGCATCACCCTGCGTCACCTGCTCACCTTCCTTTAAAACCAGCAATGAAATTTGGTATGGACCTGGGATGAACAGACAGCAATTTATTCTCTGTAGGATAGAACAGAGTCGGAGCCGAAATTTTCGTTATTCTTTAGATGCTTCTTTCTTTCCTTTTGTTTCCTGAAACAAGAAACATTGTTAAACAGGGGAAGAAAAGACAGAAAATCTTGCTTTTCTGACATGTTGTGTGGTGTTTTCCGGTTTTCTTCAGTGCCTCCAAGCCAGGTATTTTTATCACTTCCTCAAGGTTATTTATTGCATGTCTGTAAATTGACATCTCTAGTGATTATTTTGGGCCATGATAGTTCAGTTGTCTGAGCAAAACACTTCCAATACAAGATATCCTTGGAATCAGTGAGTCAAGTTCCTTCAGCTCTTCCTCCAAACTATTTTGTGAAATTTAGTTTGTATTTGAGCTTTCCAACTAATCAATCTTTAAAACACCGTAGCAGTGTAGAGCACTCAGTGGCCGTATAGGTAAGAGCTTGACTTGAGCCCAGTGTCCTTAGATGCAATTTCTGCCTCTCCTGGTGTCACTCAACAAACACTGCGCTCTTTTTCACCTGAAATAGCTCAAAGGCACAAATAAAGTGCCTTGGGACACTGTAGAATGAAAATACCTTGTTATGCCTTTCTATTATATCCCTATATATGCATGCTGCTGTTAAACCCTCTTAATATGCTATATAAGGAGAACACCTCAGCGGGCTGAAGATGCTGAATTTTTGTCATATTCCAACAAAACAGTTAAATGAGAGAGATGAAAGTTCACGTTTCAGTCAGGCACTGAGCTCTGGTCACCTGTGAATGCAGCTGGGTGCTGGCTGTCCTTCAAAGGTTCCTCCATTGCCTGTCCCTGTCACTCTCTGTACACTGTCACACACAGCAGTGGCAGACCCCTGGATTTACGAGATGGAACAGCAAATCAGCAGGAATGCGAGTAGAAAAAACCCTCCTTGCAAAAGGAGTTTTAATAGTGGACTAGCAATATATATATTTAAACGCATTTGTTTTAGGAACAGCGAGGTAATAAAGGCAGTGGATGCAGGAGAGGAAGAGTTTCCTCATGCAGAGAGAAAACAAGTCATGCTGCGTTTCTCCTGTGCCATGGATTTCATCCTGTTTCCTCTGAATTTTCTTGTCCCTAGAGATCTTTCCTTCAAAGCAGCTGCCCGTCTTTGCAGCACTCGTTTTTGCTGATCAGCCTTTCTAGGCACATAGGTAGTTGCTGTCACCATCGTGTCAGAAGCATTCAGAAATGTTAAAAATGGGTAGCAAAGCAGCCTCGCCTTTCTGTGCACCAGCTACACAGCTGCAGAGAGAATAAGTAAAACTCATGCTCAGAAAGGACACACTGATTTGGCTTCCTTAAATTCCTCCTTCTGCCAACAAATCTGTGCTTTGTGGTGCTGCGGCCGCTGCGGACAGCCTGGGATGGTGCTCTCTGACCTTGCAGCAAGATAGATGCTTTGGGCAAAATCGTAATTTTGCTTTTGTTTCCTTCTTATTTACCTACAGTTGAAGACAGTAGAAGGGCATCTAGGTTGACGTGCCGATCACACCCCGTGTGTTGGGGACCTGACCAATAAAATCTGATATTTCAGTGACTTCAAGTGGGGAAATTCTCCAGAAGAAGGTTACAGTTGAGCAGACTGGCCCACTAGGGCTGCTCATATGTGCCAGCACAAGCACCTGCTTTGATGTTTGGCTAAATCAAGACTTCATACCAAGGTGTTGCTCATATTCATAGACCTCTCATTCCACTAAGCAGGACACAAAAGCAAGTGTCACTTCACTAGTAAATGCCTGTAACTTGCGTCACAGAAGTGAAGGGGTTAACTCTTCCAACAGTAGACACAGGTGCCTGGTTTTGGGGTCTTTTCAGGAACCTTTTTGCAGCATCTGAGATGTTACTGTATCCTACTGAGGCTGGAGTAGCTTCGACTAAAGAGCATCCCGGGATGGACGGGCACATCTTGGGCCACGGGGAGGCCCCCATGGCACATGAGGGGGCCGCTGGCTGAGGGGGTCACTGCTGTCCCCTGCCTCTAGCCCAGGCCCTCGACATCGCTGTCTTGAATCTTATTCAGATCTTCATTTCTGAAAGTGTCTTCAGTTCTGAAGTGTCCATGCAGGAAGGGGAGACCTGAGCTGCGGGTCTTCCTCAGCTTCAGAGGAAGCCTTCAGCTTTGAGGACTTCCAGCTGCACTTCCACCCTTGGGAATTGTGCAGGGATTCACGTGAGGGACTAGAATCCTGATTTCCTGTCAGTCCCCTCAAATAATGTTATGGTGGGGTAGGTACTTAAGGAAAGTGGGGAGGATAAGCTGTGTCCGTGCATCCAGCACACAGTCTAAAGTAAATCCCACAGATTTGCCAGCTCGAACAGGGATCACACAGCAAAATGCTCTGGCAAGTCCTGAACTAGGAAGCCACAGGCAGGTTTATTTCTGCAGGGGAATTCAGCAATTCAGCAGAATTTCTGCAGGGGACAGAAATTCACCTGGATGCTCTTTCAGCAACATGAATTTTTCTGGGGTCTGGCCCTTAAATCAGTGTATATGCATAGTGGTGACAAAGGGGTGCTTGGTGGCACAGCCAAACAGGACTTCTCCACTGCAGCAAATATATTCTGCTCTAAGTGCAGGGGCATTTTTAAGAATTTGCTTTTCTCTGGCTTTCCTTGAATTAATGTTAATAAAAGCTGCCCCAACCTCTTTTTTTTTTTTCTTCCTATATGAACACAAAAATCGCAGCTGCCTGCCAAGTCTGCTGAGAGATGGATGTAATAATTTTCAATTGGACTGGTAGCCCAAAGGGAACCCGATAGCAAGAGATTGACAGATGCAGCATGGATTATCTTGTGCTCTGAACTCAGCCCAATTTGTGGTTTGTTGCAGGTGCTAAAGAGATTGATATTGCTGCTACCCTGGAGCACTTGAGGGACCAGAGACCAGGCATGGTCCAGACAAAGGTACTGTCAATAAATCCACTGGGATTTTAAATACATTAAAGGTCTTTCACAGTAGTTGTTTTCATGACAGAAGAGAGAGGGTATGACCTAATTTAATGCAGGTTGCTTGCTGATTACCCTGTTTGGCTCCCTACCAACTGAGGTTTATTTATGCTGAAGATTTATCTCAGCTACTTTCTTTGGTGTTTACTGCTCTTTCTTGTACTATTTCCAACATCTATCTTGATTATCATATATGAAGGGCAGTGAAGACAACAATCTATAGTCTTCTAAAGAAAATGTGTGCTTAAAAGAATGTTCTTGCTTTAATCCTCAAAATATGGATTATTTTCTCAGAGTATCTGTGGTTTACTGTGCACATAATATTTTTTAAAAGGCTTCAGCTCATTAAAGAGAATATTAACTGCTGCATTTTTTTTTTTGAAAAAAAGTTTTTTACTTAAAGGAAATAGTTTAGGATGAGATCATGTACAGTAACTTTGAAGGGAGTAGCCTAAAGCCATGTCCTTGAAGGATGTAGCACAGTGACTACATTTGTACCTTTGGTAAGGTGAATATCATATCCTATAATTATTGTCAGCTATAACAGTTTGGGTGTTTTTGAAAATGTTTAACTTTTAAAGATAGCTGAGAGAGTGATTGTGGTGCTTTAAATTAGAAATTAATCTCTTTATTAATCTCTCTTGTTTTCAGCCATGTATGGTTGGTACTTGGGGGTATTTGCTGCAGGTTAAGAGCTGCAAATACAACATTAGAGAACCCCATTCCTGGACACCAAATGACTGCTTGTGACACTGTAAGATCCTGCCCCAAATGGAGGAGGACGCAGTGGGACTGCACTCGGTCTGGGGCAGGCAGGAACCAGCAGTGATGTCTACAGCATTTAGGAAGCTGAAATTGCTGAGGGGCAGGGTTGAAACAAATGTGTTCTGCAGTAGTCACTGGGCTCATGCCCTCCCTTGAATCTCTTCTTAATCATTTTATCTTCCCATTGATGCTAGAAGTGGTGCTGCAGAACAGCTGGAGGGGGGGTTAATTACTATTTACTAGGTAAGTAAGTGTATGAAAAATGATGAGCCAGTTAAAGCTAGAAAGTCCTTGTAAGACACTAAATTGAACAAAACTTTCTTCTGCTTTGTTTATTCAGACTGGGAGAATAATATTTAGAGCCCGCAATATACAGTATTACATGTATTTACTCTGTGGGGAGATGCAAGTCCTGAATAATGTTGTAAATGCATCCAATTTACATGGTACCTCTGTAGAAATAGAGAGCTCTGATTCCAGTGCAGCTCTGTTTAGAGAAATTAAAATTTCTTCTTCCAACAAAAGAAAAAACATAGCACGAGAACCAAAGAATAAGGTTATGCAAACAATTTCTCTAAGTGAGCTCTGACATAGCTACCGAGTCTCATGAAAATCTCACTCAAGACATTGTGTTTCTCCCCTCCAAACATTTATCTTGAAGCACTCCGAGAAGAGAATGTATCCAGTGTTTTCACCCACAGTGAGAAATTTTCTTAAGCTGCTGCTTATCTGTCGTCTTGCTCCTTCTTCCATCATTGTCGTTTTCTCAAAACCACCCGAATCACTTATTGAAGCTAATGTCTTGCAAATTATAAATATCTGGTTACATGCTAGCAATGCACTATCCCTGGAGATTTTTTTCTGACGGATTTAAACAAATCCCTGTGCTTTCCCAGCTGAATACAAATGAGGAATATTAGACTCTTGGAGTAATTTAAAACAATGGATTAAAAGTCAGGTTAGAAATGCCAATTACAGAATATCCCTGGGCAAAATAAACACCAGCTTATTTTAGCAATGTTATTGTGTTTCCAGCAGGCAGCGCTCCACATTTGCAAGAAGCGTGGGGAAGATTTGCTTGCAATATTTTGTCTTCTGTTAGGGATCTTTAATTGAAGAGCACTGTATATAATAAATGGTAATGAAATTATCATAACGACATACTGCATTTCTGAGAAGCATAATAGAGGATTTTATGGGTTTGCAGGTTTTTTGCAGGGAAATCATAAAACAGAATTGATATGCCACATATGAAAGGAAAAAGTAGTAAAGGGGAGGAATATTCTCTGAGAAAAAATATATTTCCTTTTTTTTCTCTCTCTCTTCCTGCATCTTTCTTCATATAATCTTCATTCTGTTATATATGATGGATACGCTCAGTTTGGTTTTCATAGCAATTTTTTTTGAGTCTGTCTGGAAAGCATAGCTTACTACTTTTTCTATATGTCTTCTGTATTTTCTATATATTTTTTCTAAATATATTGCCTCCGTGTTTTAGGTGGACTGACACCACAAATTGCCCGTCCACCTCTACTTCTTAGGCAAACTGAGATATTTAAGTTCATCTCTAGTTAGCTTTGCATGTGTAACTTGCACATATAAATGGTAGTATTGCCGCACAAAATATCAACCTCTTGTAAGAATTATTAAAATCAGTTGAAATTAATTTCACCAACTGCTGATATTTTGGCATAAAGATGAGGGAGGTGTGTTAGGGCTTTGCTGTGAAGGGTGGAAACACGCAGCAAGAAGAGCTCAGCTATTTGCATTTCTCCTTTGCACATTATCCCGAGGGAAGGAGGGGAGAGGGGTCAGCCCAGTCCCAGCAAGACGGAGTCCTTGCAAATCCAACGCGTCTGCTCTGCTCTCCCTTTCACCGCAGCACTTCACAGCCAGCTCCGAGCTCTGACAGCCGAGATTATGCTGAGTGCTTCACCTCAGCAGTAAGAGTCACGGCCCATGCAAGCTGGCAGTCTCTGCTGAACTTGTCTCCAAAGTCTGTATCTGCACATTAGGCTTCATGCTGCTCAATCCAAGGTCCTTCCATCAGCGGGCTCTGATTGTGCCAGGCGGCCGCCCGTCCTTCCCACCGTCTCTTCTCCTCAGAGCCAAGAGCCCCTCGCGTTGTCCCTGCGCCCTGAGGCGTTTTCAGCTGGTACAGGCTCCTGATTATGTCCTGCTACCGTGCGTCCAAGTGAACGTCTTCGCCGCCGCATCTCTCCTCAGCTGCTCTCCATGTGCTCCATCGGGACACACAGCTGCTGCTCCGGGGTGGTCACCAGCATTTCCAGACTCCCCTTCAATGGCTGGGACCTTGGGGAAGGCAGGGAGGGAGAGGCAGACCCATACACCATTTTCAGTGCCTAATGAGGGCGAGTCCTTACTCTCCAGGGCGAATTGATGCCTGATTAGAAGTTACCGGATGCCATCCAGCAAATGAGCAAGGATGCCACTTTGACAGCACCAAGCAGGTAGCAAAATTCTTGGACATAGGGTGTCTCTGAGAAGTTTTTCTTCTCTTCGTGGCCAGCAGCTCTGCCCTTCATTGCTTCTCTCTGTGGCATCTCCACGTAGGAGATGGCTGTGCAGCTGGATAGGACAAGACAGAGAAGGCTGACGCTGAACTGCAGGAGTTACAAGTGGGCCGTCTTTCTGCACTGTGGCTTGCACACCTTTGCTCTTTCATCCTTCCTTCACATTTCCATGTTAAAGGGAAGTACTGAAAATGAAGACAAGAACTGAAAAAGAAAAATGAAACATAAATCACCACTACCAGAGCAGTAGTCACCTTTAGGAGATGACTGAGTCTGCCCACATGCTGTTCCTTCATCAGTACCTCCACTACCCATGCTGCTGGGGTGACCTGGGGAGCTGAAGATACCTCCTGGACCACCGATCTCCCAGCGTTTAGGCACAAATAAGGTCCCTTTGGTGATCTCAGGGTACATCTTTCAGGGTACATCTCAGGTATCTTCTCTCAAAGTGAGCTCTTCCACAGCTCTTGACCACTGGTGGCTTAAACCACTAGAATGCTTGTTAAAAATCCAGACACCTCTGCACAGCCCTTGACTCGTGCGCATCATATGACTAAACTTGTGTGGTTTGGGGGGTTTTGTTTTTTTTAATCTGAAAGGAAGCAAACTGAAAAACATTATGTGTTAGCCTTGACCAAGTAAAACTCCTTAAAGTTAGGCTAGACAGCTCAGGAACTTGTTAGGGTTGTGCTTAGGTGAGGTGAGGACTTATGGCTGTGTTCTTCGCACCTCTGCTGACCCAGCACAGAAATGTGTTAAAAAGGCAGTTAAAACGGCAGCTGAAAGAAAGAAAAAAGAGCAGGTAAAGCAAAGAGCAGTTATTGTTTTGTGTAATAGGTGTAATGTGAGGAAATATTTATTCCAGCTGATTTTAGCTAGAAATACTCCTGAGAGAAGCCAAGGGCTCTCCTTTGCAGTATCATCTCACCTGTTTCATATCTCAGTTATGCTGATATGTTTCCCTTGGTGTGTTAGAAGGAAATGGCTGGAGATCAGCTACGCCCAAGCCTTTCTGACCAAGCAGTTGCAATATGTCATGCGTCCCAATAGCTTCATCTCTGCTGCCAACATTTCTCCATTAAAATGGCTCTGTCTTGAGGACACTGTCAAACATGGTATATGACATGGGAAGTCCCCAAATACTTTGCAGCTTTCTGTCGATGTGAGCCGCCCGTCCTGCACACTCGTGTTTCTCTCCCTGTCTTGCGGATGCCCCGGCGCAGAGCCGTGCGCCCGGCTCTGTGCCCGTGCGGGGCTGTGTCAGCCAGGCTGTGTTTGTTCTCTCCGCAGGAGCAGTTTGAGTTCGCCCTGACAGCAGTGGCAGAGGAGGTGAATGCAATACTCAAGGCACTTCCACAGTGACCGGCACAGGCTCCTAAAGGCTCCCCGAGGATCCAGCCCTCGTTTCCTTATCCTCACTCCCTGTGAATGTTCTTGGAAAACGTGACCTGACCTTAACTCTGTATCTTCTGTTGTAACCACATAGTGATAGGGTCCTTACAAACTTCTTTAGCTGGTAAAAAGTTCAACAGTTAAAATGTGTATTCTGCTGGGGGGGGGGGTAAATAAATTTTGCAAAGTACATTGAAGCCTCGGATTAAGCGGCAGAACCGTCCATCCAGTTCCTTTCACATCCTCCAAGCCCTGAATGTCACACTTGCAAAGCACACGTTCATATTCCTAATAGCAAATAATACCGTATTGTGGGTAATTAGTGCAGTCAATATCGTCTCAGAAAACAGTGTTCTCTTATATGTTGTGACTTCTCAAAGGCTGACGGAGCGCGGGGTGGCCGGCAAGGGACGGCGGCCGTTCCCGTTGGGAGCCCGGCGAGAGCCGCCCCGACGCCGAGGGGCTCGGCGAGCAGCGCCCGGCGCTGAGGCCCAAGAGCCCTGCACCTCGTCACGCTGGGCCTCGGCGAGCAAATGTTTTCCTAACTGTTGTTTACTTTTCAGCTTTGTGCCACGAGCGGAAGAAAATCTCAGCTGTGGGTAAATAGGCCTGTGTGGTTGTTGCAACCGGGGAGAACAAGTTGGTCACGTTGATGGGGAGCCCGGGGGAATGAGCACAAAGCTCCTCCCCGGCACCTGCCACCGGCAGAGAGGAGGGACGGGGCAGCATGACAGAAACATGAGCAAAGCGGCCACGGAAACGGCCAGAGCTGCTTCGGAGACGGGTTGTTGATCTGACGGGATTGCTGGGGAAGAGAACGGACCTCTCCTCTCTACGTTTTTGCATTTCCCTCTGTGAAAACTGCCGTGCCATCCTTTTTGGACCGGGAAGTGTATTTCTGTACATACCTGGCTGAAGGAAAAATCTGCCATCTGCATTTTACGATTCACGTGGAGTTTGTCCCATCCAGACACTTGTTGCATCTCTCTGCAGAGTCTCTGTTCTTGCCTGGTTCTGAATGATAACATTTTAGCTAAATATTAAAGGATAAAGAAGCACATGGGTTCAGTTACAGAGATTCTTGTGTTCTGAAAAGCCTAATGCTTACTGCTGCAAAGTAATGCCAAAATCTGTCTGTAAGTGGTTTGGTTATGCAGTTTTGCTTACGTGACTTCACAGTTTCAGTTGTGGTATCTTCTCTTGCAGAGGAACGGAAACTTCTCACAGAAAGGACTCGAATGATGAGGGGCCTACGGGTAAAACTTATCAAATGTGCTTACATGATCTAAGCTCATCCTTTTATTTTCAAAAGTGGATTTGAAATAGATCTAAGCTATTAAATGTCTCCTTTCTTCTTGAAAAGGGGACGTGAGCACTTTTTCATATATTAAGCAACATCTCTATGATTTAAGGGTTTGGGGTGTTTTTTTTTTTTTTTCCCCAAAATCTTAATGATGTTTTATGCTGGAAATCGTGCCAGGTTAATTATTTGACTTCAGCATTGAAAACCATATAACTGATTTTAATTTGAGAGGGGGAAGCTTTTATAAACTTCTATTCAGTGAAATGTTAAAAAGCCAATATTGCAGAGTTTTGCTGGAACAGAGCTGAGCAGCACCTATTGAAGTCAACCATGTTGCAGTTTGGTGGTGTAGGCGTGGATATTGGTGATTTTTTTTCTTTTTAGCAATTAAAGAGTTATTAAAAATAATAGTAATCAGAAGACTTGTTACTTTTTCTCCCTACATTTTTGTGTGCTTTACTTGGTATGCACTATTGCTTAATCTGTGCATCTCCTTCCATGGCAGTACCGAGCAGTTACTGCAGATGCCATCATCCTCTTAAGTACACATACTGTACATTAAGCCACATGTTTATTTTATGACCTGAGCATTTTAGAGCTTTCCTAGCAATAACTAAAAAAACTAATGGAGTATGAATGAGAAAATTGCCTTTTTCATTTGATAATTTAGGTTTAACAGGATTCTTTTATTACCTTCGCTAACGCAAAATTGCAGATCAGGGCAGATGCGATCCGTCTGAGCCCCACCAGCACATGCTTGAAGTAGATTTACTGTCTGCCACGTACAGCAGCTTTCCGCAGCAATACAGGTAGCTGCATCCAAAGGAACCGGCCACGGAATCAATCCCAGCATGTCCCAAGCCTTCCTCTTGGCAACTGGGGCTGCTTCACAGCGCAAGTCTCTGTGCCGCTACCGGCTGCCTGAGGGGCAGGGGGTTTTAGCACAGATCTTGGCCTGTTCACGTGTGTTTGGCCTCCCGCCCTGGAGCACCCAGCAGACGTGGCTGGAGAGCCTGACGCTTGCACTTGGGGAGGATTTTTTAATTGTTCTTTTGCACATATTTGCATTTCACACTGGCAGTTTCAGGGCGATCCCTGTTAATCCAGAAGCAGCCGAGTGTGAGGCTGAGCTGTCGGTCCTTGTGCTGAGCAGTGGATGTACGGAGCGCAGGGGAGGGGGCATTACGGTCCCGCGGGGCTGCTGGCGGAGCGAGGACGCGCCGGCCCCGCGCGCACGGAGCTGCAGACCTGGCAGGGCCCGCGGGACCCATTCCTTCTGCGGTTCCTTCTTCCCTGCTGCTCTAATCCTGGCAGTCCTTGCAAGGGGTGTTCATGCTGCCCTGGGCTCCTGTCTAGGACATGATACCGGATTCTCTGGGGAAAGGAATTTGGGTTGAGGAAAGGGTGTTTCTGGAGACCAGGATTGGAGGAGAACCGCAGTCCTTCCTTTTCTATATTCTGCTTGGTCCTTAGTGGACGGATTGGTAGTGCAATACGTTCTGGTGCCAGAGGAGTACCCAAAGCTGCCCGTGGGCAGTATTGACCGTCCTCGTGTCCCTGTTTGATAGAAGCGATTGAATCCAGCGTTGCAGTTTGCAGGAGTGAGGTCCCGAGCGCCCTAATCCCTGGGATTGGTCCCCGGGCGCCCCAAGGGCCACGCGGGGGTTGCTGCAGAGGCGCCCAGTGCCGCTGCCACGTCCAGCATCGCCTGCTGCCATCCGGGGGAGTCCTGGGCACCGGCCAGGGCACAGAATGAATCAGAGCCCAAAGTCCTATACACAAATCTCCATTCGGTAGCAAAGCAAGCAGGATTTTTTTTAATTTTTTCTTTTTTTTTAATAGATGCTACTGAATATTACTTTTTTTTTAATATTTTTTAAATGTTCACCAATGAATAAACCTTCTTCCTCTCAAGCATGCATGGAGAACCAGCACCAACCCATCCCCAGGGAAGTGATAGCTATAGGACCGGTAAGGAGCTCATGCTTTACTAATCAAGTGGAACATTAATACGACCCAGCCCACTTTGTAATTTCCAGAATACTTATTAATTAAAATGCTGTTTATTGGAATAGAAAACAAGCATTTGATTAGCTTTGTTACAGAACAACAGCTCTCTCCTCATTTCTATTCTGCATATTTTATTCTTTGCTTTGAAAACTCTCTCCAGAAGCAGTTGTGATAATTCACTTTTTAAACTGTACAGTTTCTATGGTTTTGCTTTTTAAACAAGAGCACACTTTGTAGATTTGATTATTGTATTTCTCTGTTGAGGTTCCATTGGGCATTACAAAAGCATTCCCTACCGCAGAGCTAGAAAGCAGCCTCCTGGTTTATTGTGAGGAGAAAAAATAAGAATTAAAACGCAGTTGCCGAACTGTGGCATCCTCAGTCCACTTAGAGCATGACTCTTTACTACTTTTCATTTACCACATTAGAAATAAGATAAAGTTACACCAGCAAGATTTCCTTTGAAGCTGTTCTTGCATGCTCTTTGTACTGTATTTGATGGCATAACATGGTTTTCTTCACAACGTTTTCTTTGGTGTCATTCTATTATATTCTTTATATGTATATAGGTTAAAAAAAAAAAAGAATTATACAAAGTATTTTGTTCTACCTCTGTAAAAATCATATTTGTGAATAAAGTCGCCTTGGCCGTGGCGTGTGGTGGTGTGGACGCAGCAGTGAGTGCTGGTGCTTTGCTCTTGTTTGGGGGGCTGCCGGGGGCTCGTGGGGTGAAGGGGCAGCTCGCGGGCCTGGCAGTCCAACACGCTGCTTTCCAACAGGAAAAGCCAAAAAAGTATGGATCATAGGTTAGGAATCTGCGAGGGAAGGGATCGAAGGGGATAGATGGTGCCTCCTTTAGGGAAAGCTAAAGGTAGGGAAGCGCTCCTGGGCAGGGCAGGGTGGTGGGGCAGAGCGTCGTGTAATGAGGACCAGGTGGATTCACGGAGGGGTTTGAGTGGGCAATGGGAAAATACCCTTCCATTAAATAGGGTTAAGGGGAATAAAGTCTCCGGTTCACTAACACAGCATAAAAGCAGCCAGTCTTTGCCCTGCGGCTAGGAAGTGATTTTCCCGTAAGCGCTGTCCCTTCTATGGAGGTTTATATCTTTCCAAGAAACAGGCTGTTGTGAGGCAGGACTGGACGGTTCCACACAGCCCGGCAGCCCCGGCGTGGCAGTTCCCATGGCCAGTTCCCAGTATCATATGCTGAAACTTCACCAGTGTTTGAAGGCTCAAAATAGTTGGCTGCTTCCCCAAAAACAACCTGAAAAAAAGGCAAATAAACAGAAAGGCGGATGCATCCTGGGGCCAGCTCATCCCTCCCCCTCAGAAGAACCACATCTTAATGTTCCTTAACCTTGTTTATGTAGTTGCATGTTTTTATATCTGCACCTTTCTCCGCCTAAGAAGGTGACTTTCATCTTGGAAACAAAATAGATGCTCCATTAGAGTTATTTTCCTGGTGGTGCAATTTAAAGCATCTTTCATCTGCAGGAGCTTCCCGAAGGCTCTGGTGGCACCACGTGGAGGGCAGGAAGAGCGGAGCCTTGCCCTAGGTGACTTTGCTCCTGCGCAGAGCAGGTCCTGGCTCCCGGGAGCTGCACTCGAAAGAACAGGAACTTTTCTCTCTGCCCCAACCTCTCCTGAGGGGTGTTATATTCGGAACCTGCAAAACGTCAGGGCTGATGGGTCGGGTGTTTCTGTGCTGCTCGCCTAGCAAGTACGGGCACCACGCAGGAAGCGCAGGGCTGCTGACATCGTGCACCTGAAACAACCCGATCCCTGGACAATTCCTCCCACTGCACCGCAGTTAGGCCCAAAATTCCTTTCTCCCGTCTCTCCACCAAGTATTCCCCTCCCTATGCAGGTAAATCAGCAGAGCAGGAAAGAGGTTGGATGTGGAAGAGCCTCCATAGAGACACAGATGAGGTTAAGCTGGGGGTGTGCATCAGGAGACCTTGCCCTGCATTGGGTTTTTCCTGCATTGGGTTTTTCCTGTGGGAGCTCTGGCCAGGATGCTCAAGAGGCAGCAGTGCCCTAGGCCAGCGTTTTCAGTGGAGCTTGGAGGTGAGTTTTGTTCTGCCAACCTTTGGGAAGCTTCTGTGATGGCTTCTACACAGCAGTAACTCACCACAAACATCTTTGCTCATGAGAGAAGCAGATGTTTTGGGGGTGTAATTTATCATCTGACCCATTTGGGATGTCTGCTTTAGCGTATGGGGATTCATGCTATTCTCTCCACATCCAGAAACAGTCATCTCCAGAGTTTAACTATGCATTAGATGGACGAGCATCTCCTTTTTGTACTGCAAGCCTAGTCCCTCCCAACTTCAGTGCATGCACTTGTGAGAAGAAGTGAAGTCATTTCTGATTTTCTGAAGCATTCATGATTTTATTGATCCTTATCTTATTCCTGCTCATTTTTTCCCCATTCCACTCTGAAGACTGGTTTCTCACAGAGGTCATTCTGCGCTTTTGCTCATCCTTGCTACCTCCCACCTTCTCTATTTCTGTTTCCACTGCACTTGCTCTGAGGTCCATGTGCCCAGGCTCCCTACAGCATCCAGGCTGCTGCACTGCCACAGACCGATGGGCTCTTTTAAGCTTTATTTCTGTTCTTTGCAATTTCTGGCATTGTTCTTCCCCCCTCCACTGCTGGGCGCTGAGCACAGACCCCGTCCACCCAGAGCGGCTCCAAACTCCTTGTGTCCCGGGCAAGAGCTCACGCAGGGATCACCGCTGGGCCCTTGTGCTGGGGCTGCCTTTCAGCATGTGCAGTGCTCCACGTTTATCAACAGCGACTTCACCTGCGTTAGCACAGGATCTTGCCATGACGCTTCACAGCCACTTTTGTTTTCACTACCCTGGGCACTTTGTATCATCCACACTCCCTCATCTCACTCTCACCTCCTCCTTTTTTCACGTTGTTTATACAGGGGAATCACCACCACTGCAAAAAATAACCCCTTCTTCCCAACCTCCCTTTCTTATCTTTTAAGCAGTCATTAATCCACCAGGGAACATCCCCCGTATCCCATTGCAGCTCCTCTTCTGCAAGCACCTTCTAGGACACGGCTTTTGCCAAAAGCTTTCAGGAAAGCCAAATACTATCAACTGCATCACCCCCGCTAGCGCCGCATTCATCCCTTCAAAGCCTTCTAGGCAGCTTTTGAGCCATGAGTCACTTCTACAAATCTTCTCCTTCCTTTCATGCGCTCTATTATGTAGGATCTAGACACCAGGAGGTAGGAGCAGCTTACAGAGTGTGATCCTGAAAGTTAAATGGCTTTAGTAGCTTCAGAGCTAGAGAGTGGGCCCTAAAACCCCTCAGGCTCCTTTGGAAGGCACCTCCACCTCCCTGTCAAAGTAGGCCTCACTTGGAGCAAGTTGCTCACAGGCTTTTCCAGCCAAGTTTTGAATATCTACAAGGATACACATTCCACAGTTTCTCTGGGACCTCTTGATGACTTTTTTTAAAACATTTTTGGGGTCCCCTTGAAGCAATTGGAGAACTTATCAGCTCCCTCAAAGGAGGCACCTGCACCTGGCAGGTGCTGAGTCCTGCTGGAGGCTGCCCTGGCAAGACTGTCATTTACTTTAATGGACTCTCAGACACGTAGCTCACATGGAGACATTTGTATTGAACTGACTTAATCCATGAGCTGAAGCCAGCCCCTGGGCAGGAGTCAGTGCTTGTATATGTGGGTTTGATGCCACTGTAGGTGTTGTGAGGTCCTGCCTGGCCTCCAGTGCTCAGTGCTGTGTGGGAGCAGAGGCACTGCTGCTTTCCAGCCCCAGAGGGGAAAAGTGGCCAAAAACATGGTTTTTAGACTTAAAAAATCCTGAACAGCAGTGTTCTAGTAGCACTTGTTTCTAAATGTGGCATCCATTTCACCAAGGAGTGCAGAAAATCTGCCCCGTTTTCCAGCAGATTTCACTTGTGTTGTCCAAGACAGAAATGTTTGTTCCCGCACACGGATATTACGATGAAGCAGGAGCACGAGCAGGACTGGTCCTGGTTGTGTTACCGCTGCAGCACTGAATCCGCTGGGCAAAAGCCAAGG